TTAAGGAACCCCTGGCAACCTCTGGAGGAACCCTAGGATTGCAGGGAACATTGGTTGAGAAGTGACTTCTTTAGAGTGATATCAGGGGTGCATCGCTGTGATAAGGAGCCTACAGCGCCACCTGCTTCCACAAAAGGAGAATGCAAGATAATTATTTGTAACAATGATGTAGAAAACCACCAAACATCTTTAGGTCATCGGGTCAAGTCAGAGCTTTTACCGTATATTGATAGTTTTATGTTCAAACATGTCCTTCCAGGCTTATCCTGTCCTTGTTCTAGGAAGATATCACAGCCTAAAAACTTGACACGGAGTCTATCGCTTCACCACTTTATCAAAAACAAAGAAAAGGTTTGCTTGTAAATACACTTTAATTTGTCTAAATCTTGAGGCAACAGTCCATAGGTAGAGAGAGCCGCAGAACGCATCCAATAATCACAGGGTGACACACAATGGCATTTATTCTTCCTGTGTGCCTGTCAGCACCTTCATAAATCAGCGATGATCATCCTGCGATTTTACAGGACTGAACATGACATGGCAGCTGTGATCTAATGTGACATCTATGCGTTCAGGGCAGATCGGACAGTCCGTCAGTCAGACTTACCTTGTAAGAAGACATTGTTAGCAGAAAACAAAGTTAGTACATTCATAGCCCCCCTTACGAATACCTAGTTAACCTCTTCATGACAGTGTAACGCATGTGAACATCAATGAACAAGACAAACGTAGAGGATGAATCTCCCTAATGGGGCAACAGAAAACATTACAAGCCCGACAAGGATTCTAACCCTTCTCCTGCTTTTCTTTGAATGTACTTCAAATAGCAACCCCATTGACAGATTTAATAATATAATAAATAGTAAAAAAAAAAAAACTCCAATAGGTGTATTGCTGAAGCTATATAGTAAATATCGAAAATGTGCAAAAGCCAGACTCGCCCCTTAGTTTACTTTAAAGCATAACTGCACCAAAGGTAGCTGACCTTGCTGAGCTCCACTCACATATACACTATATTGACAAAAGTATTGGGCTGCCTGCCTTTCCACACACATGAACTTTAATGGCCTTCCAGTCTTAGTCCGTAGGGTTCAATAGTGAGTTGGCCCCGCCCTTTGCAGCTATAACAGCTTCAACTCTTATGGGAAGGCCGTCCACAAGGTTTAGGAGGGTGTCTATGGGAAGGTTTGACCATTCTTCCAGAAGCACATTTGTGAGGTCAGGACTGATGTCAGGGGAGAAGGCCTGGCTTGCAGTCTCCGCTCTAATTCATCCCAAAGGTGTTCTATGGGGTTGAGGTCAGGACTCTGTGCAGGCCAGTCAAGTTCCTCCACCCCAAACTCACTCATCCATTTCTTTATGGACCTTGCTTTGTGCACTGGTGCGCAGTCATGTTGGAACAGGAAGGGGCCATCCCCAAACTCTTCCCACAAAGTTGGGAGCATGAAATTGTCCAAAATGTCTTGGTATGCTGACGCCTTAAGAGTTCCCTTCACTGGAACTAGGGGGCCAAGACCAACCCCTGAATAAGAACACCACACCATAATCCCCCCTTCACCAAATTTTACACTTGGCACAATGCAGTCAGGCAAGTACCATTCTACTGGCAACCGCCAAACCCAGACACGTACATCAGATGGCCAGACAGAGAAGATTGATTGATCACTCCAGAGAACACGTCTCCACTGCTCTAGAGTCCAGTGGCGGCGTGCTTTACAGCACTGCATTCGACGCTTTGCATTGCACTTGGTGATGTACGGCTTGGATGCAGCGGCTCGGCCATGGAAGCCCATTCCATGAAGCTCTCTACACACTGTTGTGCTAATCTGAAGGCCACATGAAGTTTGGAGGTCTTTAGCTATTGACTCTGCAGACAGTTGGTGACTTCTGCGCACTGTGCGCTTCAGCATGCGCTGACTCTGTCATTTTATGTGGTCTACCACTTGGTGGCTGAGTTGCTGTTGTTCCCAGTTTCTTCCACTTTGTTATAATCCCACTAACAGTTGAGCGTGGAATATTTAGTAGCCAGGAAATGTCACGGATGGACTTATTGCACAGGTGGCAACCTATCACGGGACCACGCTTGAATTCACTGAACTGAGAGCGACCCATTCTTTCAAAAATGTTTGTAGAAGCAGTCTGCATGCCTAGGTGATGATTTTGGACTCCTGTGGCCATGGAGGTGATTGGAACACCTGAGTCCTATGATTTGGAGGTCTGGCCCAATACGTTTGGCAATATAGTGTATATGCAATGACAGGAAAAGTGGGCCGTAACGCCCAGCCACCACACATATCAGTCTGTGCTGAGAGCTTTCTTCCAGCACACTGAGTGAGCTGACTCCAACAGCTCTCAACCATGGCTTCTGATCAGAAGCCAATAATGTGACCACTATGAAAGCCAATCACAGCAGTCATGTGGGAAGTTGCTCCATCTACTGACATTGAAGCACACTTAAAGGGTCACCAGAAGGCAGTGTGAAGGTGTTAAAGGGGAATTAAACCAAAAAAAAAATATAGATGGTAGGATTTTTAGGACAGAAGAGACCCTAATGGTTTATTCTTCCATAAAACCTTCTCCCTGCCTGTCAGCAGTTATGTAAACTGAGTCACGCATGCGCAGCTAAGCGTACATTTCCGGCACTGCTCTGTACCATGATAATGTGATTCCAAGGAGAGTGACACTATCATGGCCTGGCCAAGCAAGCTTCTGAAGCACCTGAACCCAGAAGGATGAATGGGAGAAGATGGCAGCACTCATGACCAATGGGAGTTCTGGAGGGGGTCATTTGCCAGGCAGATCTGTTATCCATAATGTGCTAATATGCATTGTGTACTAGCACATTATGGATAAAGGCTCCAGGGGCTCATCAAAAAAATGGCAGTTATAATGGAGTTATAATTCTGCTTTAAAAATGAACTCGGGGCAATTTTTTTTCCCCATGCAGTGGGGATGTGCCAGCAGGTTAACTGCTTGTTTTATTCTAGGGGAGAGGACAGTGAGGATATGCTTACCTGTTCCGTCGATCCTCCCCGCACAAGACCAGTCCAGCACCCCTGTGCTCCAGCAGTTTTGAAAATAGACTGTTCCTGACGTCATCACGCACAGAGCAGGCTCCATAGACAGGAACAGTCCGCTGCTGGACAGTGGGGGAAGCGCGGTTTTCCGAAGGATTAAAGGATCAGGGGAGTATAAGCTTTGTGTTCACCCCTAGAAAAACAAGCAGTTGACCTCTGCAGCATGGGCACAACCTGACTGCATTGCGGAAAAAAAAGTTGACCGGAGCTGGGCTTTAAAGAGCAACTTCAATCCCTCCATTTTTTTTGTTCACTGGATTTTCTTCAACAGACAAACTCACAAATTCAGCAAATCCAGCATTTTCCTGTTATCTCAATCTGGAAGGGCCGCTGGGGAAGTTGACAAACACTGTAGTATTTGATGCTTCCTTTTTTGCACGCTGATCATACAGGATCATTCACTCCAAACTGCCACAATTCATACAACGCCTTGTATTTTTTTTTCCAGTTAATACAAGGCATTCTCTGAATGGACAAGGTGGTGAGGAGAGACATCATGTTGTTCACCTCATCCAGTCGGAAAACGCCTTGTATTCAATATTCAATAACAGAAAATGCAAGGCATTCTGTAAATGGGGGCATTGCTGAGAGAGCTACCCTCCCCCCCCCCCCCGGGCCAGCGTCCAGGGGAAACAACTCAGCGCGGGACCTGGACGTTACTGGCTACTAATTACCACAGTGATTGTCAGATTCCGTAGCGATCCATCGGATCAGGTATGAGATACACTGTATTTACTGTGCTTACATTATGCCAAACTGGACCAATGTAAGTATGCAATACAGATCATACCTGGAGTTCATCTTTACATTTTCAGTTCAAACAGTTATTAAACTAATATAATAATAAAAGTAATATGGACAATGCAAGTGCAGTAATGAGGCTACAACCGCCTATTACAAACCACTATTACTTGGATAAGACCTCCGATAGTCACTAGGGGGAGCTCTTGTACTGGAGAACACAACCGATGCATAAATGAACTTGTGCAGATTTGTTTTTCATTCTATGAAATGTCCAGGAAAACTGACATCAGGGCAATGCTATGGGTAATACAAATACTTCAATTCTTCAAGTATAGCATGCAACCAGAGTCAGCTGACAAACTCCCAAAGTGTATGTTTGCCTTTATAAACTGTAACACATTTGCAGTCCATTCTTCATATTTTCAGTCCTGTATGTGGAAAAATGCCACTTGGCTGGCTGTCATGCTGATCCAGTGGCTTTCAGTTGTCACTAACCTTAAGCAAGTATGCAGATCTGGAGATAAAATGAGCATTACTTGTTGAATCATTTGAAATATGAGCCATGGGTGGCCCTGCAAGCACCTCTGGGCTCCACAGGTTTATTTAAAAATCGACTGAGTCGGGTGAAAAAGTATTGACTGAACAATGACTGCATCCAAGTAGATGCAGTCACTGTTTGGGTATCCAGGCAGCCAAGGGTACTGTGGCTGCTTCAGTACAATAGCCCTGGGGCTGAAGAAGAGAAATCTAACTATGTATAGCTAGCATTACTCTGACTTCATTGGCTGCATGCCAGTTCCAGTCATTCAGTTGCTGAAAAAGGTGATAACAGCCTGGCAACTAGAAACAGGTCAGCAATGGAAGGCTATATATTTATCACATTTAAAGCTATGCATTTTATCATTAAAAAGCCTTCTTAAAGTGTTACTAAACCCCGGACCCTGCATCCACTATATCTGGTTTCCCCGAAACCTGCATTCACTATATCTGGTTTCCCCGGACCCTGCGATCACTATATCTGGTCTCCCCCCGGACCCTGCATTTACTATATCTGGTCTCCCCGGACCCTGCATTCACTCTATTTGGTCTCCCCGGACCCTTCATTCACTATATCCGGTCTCCCTGGACCCTGCATTCACTATATCTGGTCTCCCCGGACCCTGCATTCACTATATCCGGTCTCCCCGGACTCTGCATTCACTATATCTGGTCTCCCTGGACCCTGCATTCACTATATCAGGTCTCCTCGGACCCTGCATTCACTATATCTGGTCTCCCCGGACCCTGCATTCACTATATCTGGTCTCCCCGGACCCTGCATTCACTATATCTGGTTTCCCCGGACCCTGCATTCACTATATCTGGTCTCCCCGGACCCTGCATTCACTATATCTGGTTTCCCCTGGACCCTGCATTCACTATATCCGGTCTCCCCGGACCCTGCATTCACTATATCTGGTCTCCTTGACCCCGAATACACTATATCTGGTCTCCCCGAACCCTGAATTCACTATATCTGGTTTCCCCGAACCCTGCATTCACTATATCCAGTCTCCCCGGGCCCTGCATTTACTATATCTGGTCTCCCTGGACCCTGCATTCACTATATCTGGTCTCCCCGGACCCTGCATTCACTATATCTGGTCTTTGGACCCTGCATCCACTATATCTAGTCTCCCCGGACCCTGCATTCACTAGATCTGCTCTCCCCGGACCCTGCATTTACTATATCTGGTCTCCCCGGACCCTGCATTCACTTTATCTGGTCTCCCCGGACCCTGCATTCACTATATTCGGTCTCTCCGGACCCTGCATTCACTATATCTGGTTTCCCCGGACCCTGCATTCACTATATCTGGTCTTTCTGGACCCTGCATTCACTATATCTGGTTTCCCTGGACCCTGCATTCACTATATCCGGTCTCCCCGGACCCTGCATTCACTATATCTGGTCTCCCCGGACCTTGCATTCACTATATCTGGTCTCCCCGGACCCTGCATTCACTATATCTGGTCTCCTCGGACCCTGCATTCACTATATCCGCTCTCCCCGAACCCCGCATTCACTATATCTGGTCTCCCCGGACCCTGCATTCACTATATTCGGTCTCCCCGACCCTGCATTCACTATATCTGGTCTCCTCGAACCCTGCATTCACTATATCCGCTCTCCCACAGTACACAGAACATGGAAATGCAATTAGTTTAGTAAATAAAAACTGCTAAATATCCTTTCTCATCAGCAGTTACAGAAGTCTTGTGATTTCAACAGAGCACTGGTTAAAGCTTGTAGGAGGAGTTTTCTTTCTGCTCTAGGAGGATGCAAAACCCCTGACCTTTGTCTGGACAGTGCTGATTGGCCCTGTGCTGATCACATGCACTCTCCCAAGAAAAAAAAAAAAAAAAACCTCTCTAGCAATACACACCAAACTGAGCATGTGCATGTAACTACGGTTTCAGTCTGTCTTATCAGGTGGACATATGAACAAGAGGAGGGGCAGAGAAGTCAGGACCAAACAGCCTTTTTACAATGCGGAGGATTAACCCCTGAGTTTCCACAGTGAGTATAACAAGCATGCTTTGCTGCATTAGGCCTTAGGATATATGTCAGTGGTTGTCAACTTATGAGCTAAAGGGGAGCTCAAATGCATCCCCTGGCATCACCAATGTTCAATATATGTAATGATGATTATTATTATTATTATAATACAGGATTTATATAGCGCCAACAGTTTTCTCAGCACTTTACAATATAATGGAGACAATACAGCAATGATACAGTTCAATACAAGAGGGTTAGGAGGGCCTGATCCTTGGAGCTTACAATCTAGGAGATCTCTTCGGCCTTTTCGTTCGATAGTAAACAGTCATGCATCCACTGCTTACTAATGGAGCCACGGAGAGCCCAGAAAAAGATGAATGTGTTCTCTGCTATGGGTTTGAAACGCCATTTTGGGGGAGCCTGTGTTACAGTTTAGAGTTCCCTGAGAGGCATTGGAGGCTATTTTGGGAAACAGATGCTAAAAATAGCATGACCTGGATAACCAAGGGGCCCTGGAGTTATTGCGAGTTAGGGAGAGGAACCCATCTTATTACATAAAATGTGAATTTGGCTTCACCCTTCAGGCAAATAAGGCTAGAAGGTTCATAGAGTCTGCAACTAGGACTCCTGTGGAAATCTTTTCAGCAAGGTGTGTCGCTGACAAAAAGATCAAGAATTGCAACGGTCCCCTTTCTATGGGAAGTCATAGTGCCTAGAAAAGTTTGTTTTGAAGGACTGTAAGTAGTAGCTCAGTATGAAGTCCTAATGCACACTTTTTAAAGCTGCTGTTTTTTGGCATTTTTTTCTACAGCCAGTAAACTCCGCAGCATGTTATCCTATGTGTCCATGCACACATAGACTGTAATCAACGTTTTTTGGCACGGGTGTTTTTTGGCTGGAAAAAACCCAGAACTAGTGGGTTTCTAGAGGCGTTTTTTAGCCTTAAAAATGGTCAAATGCAGAAAAACAAGGCAAAACGTGGTAAAACGCGGCACATTATTATTATTATACAGTATTTATAAAGCGCCAACAGTTCGCTCAGCGCTGTACATTACAAAGGGAGACAGAACATGTGACAGAACAATAACAATACAATGTGATACACGAGGGGTTCGAGGGCCCTGCTCTTTGGAGCTTACAATCTAGGAGGGAGGGGATAGTGGTACAGGAGGAGATAGCTGTGGGGGATGGAGTGGTAGGAAGAGTGGAGGAGGTCGGCAAATTAGCAGGGGGTGGGGTAGGCTTCCCTGAAGAGGTGGGTTTTCAGGGTGCGCCTAAAGAAACATTGGCTTTATTGGACTTTTGAGCAAAATAGACTCTAAAAAACACAAATGTGGAAAAATGCCGTTAAACGCGACTAAACGCTAATGCAAAAACGCTAAAAAAATGTTGAAAAACGTGACGTTACACAGCTAACGTTACCAGCATTATTAAAACACCCCGTGTGCATGGAGCCTTAAAGGGAACTGGAGCTTAAAGTGGAGTTCCACCCAAAAGGGGAAGTTCTGTTTTAAGGACTGCTCCCCATTAAGGATTGGCACCTTTGGGGGGCGGGGGGAGCGGGTACCCGAATTTGACAAGTACCAGCTCCCAATTTCGGTCGGATCACCTAGGCGACCGGAAACGGAAGGTGTCCTCCCTCCTTCCCTCCCCGCAGTCTTCTGGGATACATGACAGGTCACAGAAGACTACAGGACCATTCATGAAGCGCAGCGCTACTTGCGCATGCGCAGTGGGCACCCGGCTGTGAAGCCGCAAGCTGTCACAGCCGGGTGCCCACACTGAAGGTGCTGGCCTCTAGGAATCCAGGACAGCCGGTGAAACGGCTGCGGGGGGGACACCACGGGACCAAGGGACAGGTAAGTGGCTGTTTTTTAAAAGTCAGCAGCTACAGTTTTTGTAGATGCTGACTTTTATGTTCTGACAGGATGAGTGGAACTCCGCTTTAAAGGATATACTCTCTGATATACTCTTTCTGGGCAGCACAGTGGCTAAATGGTTAGCACTTCCACCTGGCAGTATTAGGGTCACTGGTTCAAATCCTGCCCACAGCACCACCTGCCTGGAGTTTGCATGTTCTCCCTGTGCCTGCGGGGGTTTCCTCCAGGTACTCTGGTTTTCTCCCACTCTCCAAAGACATGCTGGTAGGTTAATTGGCTCCTGTCTAAATTGGCCCTAGTATGTGTATGTATGGATGTGAGTTAGGGACCTTAGATTGTATGCCCCTTGAGGGTTAGGGACTGATGTGAATGTACAATATATATGTGAAGCGCTGCGTAAATGATGGCCTATATAAGTACCTGAAATAAATAAATAATAATAAATCTCATTTCTCTGTAAGCATTGAAGAATACTCATAGCACCTACTTGTTGTTAAACTACATGTACTGGATCTGGAAAGCTTCCACACTTAAAGTTCTATATCTTTTAAATTTCGAAATAAAAAGTTGTTTGAAATAGGAGCTGTCCGATTGCTACCCCATGTGACAGAGTTTATACCCGCTACACACTAGTGCTATCAACTACTAGAACATCTAATAATTGAAAGTATCTGAGTTAAGTAAATATTCACTTTAAAGTTCATTTGTTACGTTGCCCATTGATGGGAAGTAGCAGGTTCTCTTGATAGCCCTTAAACCTTCTGCTGATACTTCCGCTTCACCATCACCACACTCCCCCAATGCTCCACTTGCCTGCCAGAGCCCTATGAAATATCCAGTGCTTCCAAGCATGGTGGGGCATGTTATCTTTTTCACTCCCTCCCACAATGCAGTGCTCAGGTTGGGGTGGCCAATCACTTGGACTAAGTACTGTCCCACGGCGATGGGGAGGGAAGACCTTAGCCTTGTATAACCTCCAACATGGAGCTTGCACAGGTATTTGAACTTATTTTAACTCTGGATTGTACGCCCCTTGAGGGTTAGGGACTGATGTGAATGTACAATATATATGTAAAGCGCTGCGTAAATTGATGGCGCTATATAAGTACCTGAAATAAATAAATAACTCTGGACATTGGCAGGAGAACAAGGCTATGGGTGAGCAGGGAAAAGGTAAGTATCAGCAGAAGAGGGATATAAGAGAGCCTGTTACTTTTCTCATTAAAGTGTACAGTCCAAATCTATGTTGCAGTAAGTATGACATCATGCCTATCTTGAAAGCAAATACTCTTGCGGGAATTTGTTGCAAGGTTTCATATCTGGAGATCCTGCCAGTAACACACTTCCTTTTCCATTGCTGACACCACTAAGCCACTGCTTTACAATTCACAGCAGGATTGTCAGCCTGCCGTTTGTGCTCTTTCAATTGGCCATTGCGCTGCCTAGCAGGACTTTTAGATGGGTATCCCAACAGCCAACTAAAGGGGCTTTGCAATGGCTGCAGAATTTGCAGGGAACTGGGAATTTTAAAAGAGGTATTGCATCACCTGAAAACCGGAGATATGTACAAACCCAGCCCTTCGACAGTCCGAAGGAGGATTGTCAGTTTTATGTGGAGTCAGCCTTTAATCACACTTTAGCTTCACACCTTCGTCACATTTTGTTTTGTAGAACGTAGCTCGATGGTGAAGCCTCTTACTGGCTCACTGTGAGGGCACCTCAGCTAATCCTCTAGTCCCTTCCATTCTGCCCCCTGACAGATGTCTTGGGGATCTAAGCCTCGAGGAACAATCACATGCCTTTCAAGTCTAAGTGTCCCCATCTCTGGCTGACAGAGGCCGAGGCAGAGTCACAATGATTCCCCGCGCTGGCAGCTGAGTTGTGCATGCTGTGCCCAGCTCTAGTAAAAATAAGAAGCTCATTAACTTGCAATTACTGATTCACTCTCCGTAATAGGGGGCCCAGTCCTCTCACTGCCAAGCAATTCGACCAAATAAAAAACAGGTCGCCTGCCCTCATCTTTCAGGAAAAGCCCCTTCCCCCTTTTGTCTCCCCAGGAGGATTGGGGATTAACCTCTTAGCAACTTGGGGAATAGTGTCATTATTGTTGCAAGAGTTGAAAGGACATGTTTTATGGGGACAGCTGAGGAAGAACTAGGAATGCAGAAATGTGACGGGAAGAGCTCTATGGACATGGGGCACTGAAATGCGTTCAACACAGAGAAAAAAAGTTTGTGAACCCAGAATCAACATGCTAAACTAACTCAAGTCTAAAGCTGGCCATACACTCATAGATTTCTTGTTCAGCCTGCAGACTGATCGAAAGAAATCTAAAAGATTCCTCCATTCATGCTAAACAGCACAGATGGATGAATCTCCTCTGCCAGTTAATGTATTCTGACATAATATGTAAAAGGTGTATTGCATTGATATACTCCAGCTTACCACACTGATGTTTATATCAAACACATTAAGAGGCTCCTAATAATTTTTTTTTTTTGCATGGAGTTTACACATTCTTCCTGTATTCATATGGGTTTCCCTTGTGTTGTCTAGTTTTCTCCCACACTCGAAAAATATTCTTGTAGGTTCTGTCTAAATTGGCTCTAGTATTCAGTACAAATTGGCTATGCAGATCTGTTATCATGTTAAGCATGCCAGTCCTAGGCTTGAGCAATTGTGGAGAGTTGAGGAAAGACTTGGTGACCTACCTTGTAAAAACTTTGCCAAGAAAATTTTATGGAAAGCGGTCTTTAGGTGTTTCGGACATGATGCCCA